CCTGTCTGCGACTCACATGCTGTGTCCCAATTCGCATACTATCAGTCCTAAATAGTATTCGAAAATAGAATTAGTACATCCCAAATCGTAGTATGTTGAAATTAGTGTTCCAAAGATACCGGATGGTCTACTTTTTTACTTTTTTCGGTCAGAATTCGAAGTGCAGAGCGATGCAGTCTAACGGCTTATATTGCCCACAACCCATTGCAGGTTGGACGAGAATTCAGTTAGAACTACAAACACGAGTGAAAAGTGTTAAAGAACTACAGACATGGAGGACGCGCGAGTCCAGCGGTAGAGAGGTTTAGATAAAGGGCTTTGAGTGATTAATTATTAGTATCTAACCTGACGAAAATGTATTTATTCAATGTTGGCTACAGACATTATATTTCATCTGCAGCAGCATTGTGAACTTTTGTAAAGATATGTTTAGCCATTAACTTTTAAATGCATCATTATATTCAAATTGCAAACACTTCTCCAGAGTCTCCACATGAAAGACCCACGACTGGCAGGTGAACGTGCTATAACATTTCTCTCCGAAACGGTAAGAAATTGAATTAGATTGAATGGAGGATTTTAAAGAAGCACTAAGTAGGAATTCCGTTTTTGTCAAACAGCGACCCCTAGAGTCGCTGTGGAGTACTTGTACTGTCGTGAATAGCACTCACGCAGAGATGGCTTGCACTCACGGCCGGATCCCCTCGCCCTGTACACCGCTACCTGTTCAGTAGGATGGACGCTGTAACGAGTGGAAATAAGGTGTGGCCCCTTTAAGAGCTGCGCGCGCCCTGTTTAACTGTCGGCAGTCTGTATTGTATGTGCCCCTCGAACACCACATGTATACGGCGCCGGGTTATTTCTGTTTGATGCTCATTTTATCAGAATTTTATCAGATCTGTTTTTTGCCGTAAAGCAATTCGTTACCTCGCGAGACCTGATATCACACGATACTTCCTAACCACCATTCAACATGAAATCAGTAATATAAACATTACAATGACTCCAAAGCTGTTCGTTTAAGGTAAAAAAGTTACTTAGTTCACCTTTAACTGTGACAAGATGATTGACAGTAGGCTACAGTGACAGTATGCACGCATAGACAGTAAAAGATATGGACACAGCGACCCCATAGACTTCAACGGAGAAAAGTGAAGTCAATTAGAAGCACTCACTTCCTGATTGCCAAGCGCACTGCGCAGACTCACACTGAGCTTGACGACGTAGATGTGACGTGAGCAACCTGTCTGACAGTTGTACGTCTTCTAGTAGCTGTGCCAAGAGGAATCTGAATCATTCCCTTCCGAATCTTGCAGAGTCGGAGAGCGTGAGTAGGAGCTGTCCATGAGCAGCAGCAGGAGCAACTGTATGACTCTCTATGGGCTTCTCCCTTGACTTTATGCCTCCACGTCCCCCCGATTCCCCGCGAGCTTCTCCTCCTGCCTATACGATAATTTCTCTACTGTGCGACAGAGTCGCGTGTTGTGACGCAATCGTTAGCCTATTTTTACAAAAACTGCTTCTATGGGGCCATAACGTAAGATACAAGGTAATGGAGCCTTTTATACATTGCCGTGTTTCTTCAGAAATAAACAATGGACAAATGGAGTCTTTAAACGCCTCAGATGTAAAGTTATTCGCTGTCAAAGTGATACCAAAATGAATGGGAGTCAATGGAATCCTAACAGCAGGTGAAGGCTTGCTTCTCCAACGGCTGATGGATTACCCCCCTGGATGCACGCGACAGAGCTGTCCATTAAAGATGACGTAGTATGTCTCAAAGCTTGCTCTTTTGTCCTTTCGATTTCTTACAGGTTGAGTTGTTGTTGCCCATAACACGCTAGCATTTTGCTAATGGACGCTGATTGGTCAGTGAAGGACTGATTACGACCAGAGACACCGCTTGATGGCATCGTGGCATATACGATATGGTACAAATACAATGCAGTGCAAATAGTAAATATAATGCTGCGTTCCAGGCAGGTTTTTGAGCAGGTAAATCACGACTTCAAACCACGACTCACGACTTTGTAGCGTTCCATCCAGTCACGCCAAACTACCTGTGCGCAATATATACTTATTGTTTCAGAGACACTTAAAATTGTAATACATAATCGTGTGTGTATTTTTATCATTATAATATACACTCACCGGCCACTTTATTAGGTACCCCATGCTAGTAACGGGTTGGACCCCCTTTTGCCTTCAGAACTGCCTCAATTCTTCGTGGCATAGATTCAACAAGGTGCTGGAAGCATACCGGCCACTTTATTAGGTACACCGATCAACTGCTCGTTAACACTTAATTTCTAAGCAGCCAATCACATGGCGGCAACTCAGTGCATTTAGGCATGTAGACATGGTCAAGACAATCTCCTGCAGTTCAAACCGAGCATCAGTATGGGGAAGAAAGGTGATTTGAGTGACTTTGAACGTGGCATGATTGTTGGTGCCAGAAGGGCTGGTCTGAGTATTTCAGAAACTGCTAATCTACTGGGATTTTCACGCACAACCATCTCTAGGGTTTACAGAGAATGGTCCGAAAAAGAAAAAACATCCAGTGAGCGGCAGTTCTGTGGGCGGAAATGCCTTGTTGATGCCAGAGGTCAGAGGAGAATGGCCAGACTGGTTCGAGCTGATAGAAGGGCAACAGTGACTGAAATAACCACTCGTTACAACCGAGGTATGCAGCAAAGCATTTGTGAAGCCACAACACGCACAACCTTGAGGCGGATGGGCTCAACACGCACAACCTTGAGGCGGATGGGCTATAACAGCAGAAGACTCCACCGGGTACCACTCATCTCCACTACAAATAGGAAAAAGAGGCTACAATTTGCAAGAGCTCACCAAAATTGAACAGTTGAAGACTGGAAAAATGTTGCCTGGTCTGATGAGTCTCGATTTCTGTTGAGACATTCAGATGTTAGAGTCAGAATTTGGCGTAAACAGAATGAGAACATGGAACCATCATGCCTTGTTACCACTGTGCAGGCTGGTGGTGGTGGTGTAATGGTGTGGGGGATGTTTTCCTGGCACACTTTAGGCCCCTTAGTGCCAATTGGGCATCGTTTAAATGCCACGGCCTACCTGAGCATTGTTTCTGACCATGTCCATCCCTTTATGGCCACCATGTACCCATCCTCTTATGGCTACTTCCACCATGTCACAAAGCTCTAATCATTTCAAATTGGTTTCTTGAACATGACAATGAGTTCACTGTACTAAAATGGCCTCCACAGTCACCAGATCTCAACCCAATAGAGCATCTTTGGGATGTGGTGGAACGGGAGATTCGCATCATGGATGTGCAGCCGACAAATCTGCGGCAACTGTGTGATGCCATCATGTCAATATGGACCAAACTCCCTGAGGAATGCTTCCAGCACCTTGTTGAATCTATGCCACGAAGAATTGAGGCAGTTCTGAAGGCAAAAGGGGGTCAAACCCGTTACTAGCATGGGGTACCTAATAAAGTGGCCGGTGAGAGAGACTAGAGAGAGACATCAGAGCCGGCGGCGAACGTCACAAGCACTAGCCGAGGAAAGGCTGTTCCAGGCGGGGTGCAGAGCGCTGAGACCCGGTGAAAGACTGGTCCTCACAACTCCGAAAACGTCAGATCAAACTTTTAAATAGGCGCTATCTTTATAAATAAACCACAGATTTGAGCTTTAAACAACTACATTGTCGACTGAAAAACTAAAACTACATTTCGTGACACAATAACAGTAGTATTTTTAAATTTCGCGGCTTCTCTCGTCTGTCTATGCGCGAAAGCACCAGTGAATGAAGGATTGCTGTAAAGCAGGTTTCTGGTCGTACGATGTGTATGACGTCATTGACATTTTAAAAGACTTTTTAAAGCAAATAAGTGACTCTAAAAAATCTAACACCCAGTAATGTGTAATTTTGTTGCATCTTCTTTCGAATACAACATTCAAATTACTAGACAAAAAAATTATATCCTGAGAAAAGTGGATTTTTAGGGGTATTGCTCAATAGACCTCCATTCATTCTGCACTCCGCCTGTGAGCGCCCTCATATGGACCTAGAGTGGAACTGCAACCAGTTCAGAACCCGGAAGTTTAATGTGAGTGGGAGTTCTCCCCATATTAGACATTCTCTGGTTATAGTCTAACCTCAGACAAATACAGAGCCGTTGCGCAGGAGAGATAAGTTAGTTCCACGGCAGAAGCTCCGTTTACTGATGCTTGGGCCAACTTTTCTTAAAATATAATCAAACTGGTCCTTGTCCACTCTGAAATAGGCTTTGAACCTCCCATTGTCCAGGCGGAGCTCCTGAATCAGCTGGTGAAATTCCCCATGGTTTTTGCGTTTTTGTAGTATCGGTTGCACGGTCTTGCACCCAAACACTGCAGCGTTTTTTTTTTTACTCTTCATAGTAAATAAATCTTGTAACAGAGTTACAGCAAGGGTTTTTCGGTGGTGGAAATCCATTGCTGAAATTTCCTTGCTGTAACGGAGAGCGCAGCTGATGGTTGCTTAGCAACGACAGACGCCTCTGGAGTGCAACCTCGCGCCTAGCGTTTTCTACGAGTTTTTAGGAGCACCTTAAAGGCCGGTCCGTGAAAATATTGTCTGACATTAAACCGGTCCGTGGCGCAAAAAAGGTTGGGGGCCGCTGCTATAGATCATACTTTTTTAGTGGTTGTGAAGTAAGGAAAATAATTTGTATAAATTTTCCATATAAAATTGCTTACTGGACCTGTAAGGCAACAAAGTGCTTTATAAATTTAAAAATTTCCATAGATCGGATAAAATATAGGTTGCATGTTAATGGACCCTCAAATATGTAAATATGAATGTTAATTAGTACAGAAATCTCGAAATTCGACAACTATATGTAAGTGTGAACTGTGTGAATCATGGCAGTAAAAAAGTGTGAAAAAGTCCAATCGAAATCCAGAAAGTCTTTATTATGAGGAGGTTAAGTTAGCAAAAACTTACATAAAGAGAGATCATTATTGAATGTTTTTTTTTTCTCTAATGACACAATAAAAAAATATTAAAAAAATACTCATAAAATGTTCTTCTATAAATGTCTATACTTTGAGCTATAGGCTAATCATCTTCAATACTTTATATCTTTCAGCAAAAAAACACTCTCATTAGAAATACATTAGTAAAACAATTGACAGACGAGTCAAAAAAGATAAATCCAAACAACGTACATTCTGGATTGTTTAACCCCATATAGCTTCAATATGCTGATCAGTTAGTGACAATGCGTTTGTCGGTGAGTACAATAATTGCATTTTTTCATTTTTTTTTCTCAGTTTTGCTCAGACTCCACACTTGCTTCCAAAACATGAAGTTCAGAAGTCGAAAGACGCAGGTCAACATGATCACAAGGTCCCCTGGCTCCCGATGCGCATGCGGTCAATGGCCTCCATATGCTTCTGTACCCATGAGTCAGTGGGTTTGGCACACACCTGACGGCCCTTTACAGTCTTGAACCTGTAAAGAGAATTTCAGCACCATCAAACACACGTGAACTTGCTCTGTTGGTCAAACTATTTCAAATCTACTTAAACATAACAATAAATATAATAAACACAATACGATATCCTCCACATATAAACACAGATATATTGTTGTTACACTTACAGTACGGCTTCTTTAGGGCACTGCTGGCTTGTCATGCTGTAATCGACCACTACTTTGACTGGCAGAGGACGGTCCGTGAAGGAGAAACAGCATCTTTGCGGTGAAACACGCATTCCTAGATTAAAGAAAAATGGTAAAAATCTTTCATATAAAACTGTACATTTTGTTAACATTTTGTTCAATATACAACTAGACTGTAATACAATATAGCTACAACTATGTGTCTCCATACCTTCACTGAGGCTAACTGCACACAGAAGCACCGCCACTGCGGAGAAGATGACGAAGCGAGAAGTAGTCATACTGGCCGTTCTGTTTAACAAGATCGCTGGATGAACAAAGACTCTGTTGAAGCTCTTCAAGCTGGATTTGATGCCGTTTGGCTCAAGCCATCAGCATTTATACAAATGGTTCTGTGATGGGGAGATCCCTTCATGGGTGGATTTTTGAGGAGGGGGATTTTGATTTTGAAAATTCACCCACACAGTATGAAAGTACAGCAGTATCTGTTGTCCTTTTCCCACACGTGATTATGTCCGTCACAAGTCATATTTAGTCATTGGGTTAAACAATGCTGTCTCGTTTTAAGGGACAGCCCTAACAGCCAACCTTTCACTTCCTCTTTCGCAAGTGGCTTGACAAAAAAAAAAAAAACATTGGAGTACTGAACACAATGTGCCATTATACTAGAAGGAAAATAGATGCACCATGAATTTTAAAGAATGCATATGGAATTGCAGAGGAGGAACACATTTGTCATATTTGCCAAATAGTGTGGATTTTAAACAGAATAAAACACATGAGAAGGATATAATAGTTTGGTAAAATATAACAATTTGGCTGGAGGGCCAATGGGACGTGCCCCGTATAGACAGATTTTTCATTTTTGGGTGAACTATATCTTCCAAGTCAAATTTTAAAATATGATTGTTATTTATAGGCCCTACAGGAACATGGTGTTAAAAAAAAAGAAGAGAGATTTGAGGAAAAATCACATCAATGTTTTTGCATTCTCTTGCAAAATGTTTGCGTTAAAAAAAAATTTTTGTGAGCAAAGCAGAGTTTCTTGGGGAAACGCAAAAGTATTGGGATTAATTTTCTTTCTCCCATCTCATATTTTTTGCCATAATCATGATTCCGTATAATAATGATAATTATAATGTAAACATCTTATACTATCCTGTAGTCATAAGGGAATGCTGGAGCCAAAAAAATAATAGTAGCAATAATGGTAACACTTTATAATAACTGCACGCTATTAATTAGTTAAGCATTTGTAAACAGTTAATTAATAATTTATAAATCATTAACAGACATCGACAAGCAGTTTATAAATACAGCTAAATGATTTATTCTTGATTATAAGCATATCTATAATGTGTTTAATAATTGTATTTTCAAACTTTATTAATGATCATTTATCATTTCTAAATGAAGTATTGCATTATTTACAAACAGTTATTTAGGAGTTGTCAGTGGTTCAAAAGATCCCTTAGAAAGTGTAAGTAAATGATAAACTATTTTTTTATTCAGACATATAGTAATAGTTACTTAGTGTGTTAATAAATGCTTGATTAACATGTATTTCTACTGTAGTTCATGGTTAATAGGTAGTTATAAAGCATTTAGTAGTGGTCAGTTCATTTTTGTGAGCTCATCTAAAGTGAGAACTATTCATGCCTTGTAAAGCTTTTACAAAGGAGATTTAAAGGCTCAGTTATCTTTTAAAAGGAAACAAATACGACACAATGATACAGAATATAGAAATATTTAAGATCTATTATGTACATTTAAAGTTTATTAATCATTTACTTAAACTTTCTAAGTGATCTTATGACAACTCCTAAATAACTGTTTGTAAATAATGCAATCCTTCATTTAGAAATGATAAATGATCATTAATAAAGTTTGAAAATACAATTATTAAACACATTATATGCTTATAAATCAAGAATAAAGCATTTGCAATATGAACTGAGTATTAATGTTTATTAATGCTTGTTAAATAGCTGTTTATTAATGCTTAGCTAATGATTAATTGTTACTGGTAGCATAAATTATTTTATTTTATTTAAAAACCCATCTCATTTCGATTCTAAATGAAAAATACTTTAGTTGGCTAAAACTAGTGGGCGCCACGTTTATAAGGCCCCAAATGCCCCATCAAGTATCACTTCCTCTTTTAAAAGGGGTGCTAATGACAAATGTCACATTAATAGTGTGAACTTCTGACAGTTTCGCATGTAGACACACGTGGACAGTTTTAACTAAGATTCAAACACCTCCTCATCTCTTAGAAAAGACCAAGCAATCTTGAGAAATACTTGTTTATTAAAAAGAATTGCCAACAATTAAAAGAAATTGTTCAGCATCCACCAAATCTCTCATGCACCTGTTGAAGAGTTTATTGACAGATGTTGATGAGTTGTCCTTTCATGCTCTGACTCACTATATTTTCATACACATTTACATTCATATTCAGAAGGCTTCAGTAAGTTTTTGTGTATTTCTATCCTGGGGATTGTTTTAAAGCCACATACTCAAATAAGGTACATTCCTGATGATTCACAAATTAGTGCTATATTCTGCAGAACTATCCGCTAATGCAATAGTCCATTTGATTTTAAAGAATTTCAAGGGGAAACAATTTCGCATCCATTACTCATTTTATCCCAACAATTCCCAGTGGACTTTTTTTTAGATGATCTAATGTATCAAAGGTATCCCATTGTTTATTTCACATTTGAAAGGAACCCTGTTAATAACTTAAGGGTAAAATTTGTGTTACAAAATGCAGGGGATCTTTTTAAAGGGGCTTTTAAAAAAAGGAATCTCTATTTTTATCATACTGGATTTGATATAGTACCAAACCTAAACAAAAATCTGCTTTTAAAAAAGGTTTCTTTAGCCGAGACAGCATTAAAATAGGTACAGAAAACAAATAATTCAAGCAGAATGTTACAATAAAATTCCAACATTCACATATGTTTATCATATTATGTTGCAATATTATTATTCAACATTATATGTATGCTGCTGTATACAAATATATGTTCTCATTAATACAAAAGGGGAACATAATATAATAGTAGCTTTAGTTTGTAGAATGACAGTAGCTTTCCTCATTATGACAGAAATTATGATAAGGTATAGATTTAGTCCAGGATTTTGGAAGTGAACCACTCACTCCTAAATATTTAGGAGATTAAAATACTATGTATCTATGACATATTAGATCATTTACATAACATAATTTAACCTAAATATCTCTATTTTAGTTAAATGAGAAGTTACAGATGCCGTCAAACGTGAACTGCTTGTGGTCTCGGCTAACACAACATCTCCGTTTAGCTTGGTTCATCAACCATGACTGCTTCTAGGACAGCCAGGAACCTTGGAGTTGTGATTGATGATCAGTTAAACTTCACATTGCTAGAACTGCCTGGTCCTGCAGATTTGCCTTATACAACATTAAGAGGATCAGGCCAAGCTCTTGTTCTATACAGACTGGACAAATGTAATGCTCTCTTGGCAGGCCTTCCAGCATGACTGTCAAACCTCTGCAACGGATCCAGAATGCGGCAGTGAGAGTGGTCTTTATCGAGCCAAAGAGAGCACATGTCACACCTCTCTTCATCAATTTGCACTGGCAATAGCAAGCAGTCTCAGCTGAGTCTCCATTTTCGAGACACTACTAAAGACGCATCTTTTTCATCAACACTTGACCCATTAATAACACTTACTATTATATTTATTTATTTAAAAACAAAAAAACTCACTACTGTGCCTATCTGGGCCTGTGCTAGACTAACTGGGACTTGTCACAGCACTTACATGTTGTTGCCCTATTGTTGGTTTGATTGCTTCTTGTTCTCCTCATTTATAACCAACATGAATGTTAGTTTTAGTTCCTTAAACATTTGTACTTTTAGAATTATGTTTTGATTTCTTATTTCCGTGCGTGCCGTGCACTGTAAAGACCAGAAAGAGGAAAATGTTACAACAGCGAAACAGGAAAACATGTACAAAAAAAGATCACCGAGAGAGGAAATGTACAACTCTGAGACCTCAGGCAACACAAACATGCAGTGTTCAAATGAATATTGTGCATGCTGTTATATTCTGTAGCAGCTGCATCGTCTGCTAGCGTAAAGGTTCATTAAAACGAATAAAGCTACTTTCATGCGAAACCATGTGATCCTGTCGTGCATGAGGCCAATACTTAAAAAAAAAATGTACCTGATGGTAAAATATATGTTGGCACGAACTTAGTTCAAATAAGTTGTGTCGATGCAGTGGTCGATCTGTCAGAGGCTGGACGGAGAAACAACCCCTAAGAGTATTTTGTTTCGTACCCACATTTTTGGGGACACGTTTACTTACTGGAGTAGGATTTTTCGCCAACTCTGGTAAGATATTACGGTGACGTGTGTTTATTAATTATCAGGGGTGCAACGGATCGCAGTTGATCTGTACGATTCCTCTTTCGCGCTTGAACGGACACATACACACAAAATTATGTTAAAATACCCATCTTGGCAAGTATTCATAAGTGATGTGTAAGTATACTCGTGATAAGCGGCTGTGTCACTATATTCGGTCCTTGCATTTGGTCTTAAAGTGACAGCAGCCTAATATTCCTGCTGTTCTGTGTCATTAATGTTAATAAAAAAAAAACATCATCATCATCTACATTGGTCGAGAGAAAAGAAGATAGTGAGGAGGGCAGTCAGGAGGAAAGTGATGACGACAGCTTGTAGGATAAGTGTGCGGTGTAAAGTGTCAGGACCAAGCAGCATCTATAGGTGCTCCCTTGAGAACAAGACCAAAAGTATGTTTGTTTTTGCATGCAACAAGTGATGAGCGCGACATTTCTTTGACACACTTATATGCGCCATGTCAGAAATATGCAAACATAAGTTATGCTCAAGACAAACTTGTTAATTTAAAGGTGCTATATGGAACTTTTCTTCTAAAATGAATCCTTTTTTTATTCCCTGTGTGTGAAGGGGTTGTAATCACACATTACAATGATCCACTTGTCGGGTTTTGCTATTACCTCTGAAGGCCAATATTCATATTTATATGTGAAGTCTCCGGGTCGGATTTACCGCGAAATCCATCGGATGTGACGTGCATGCGCGCTCCCGAGCCTCTCTCCTTTTTATATACAGTCTATGCGACGGCACTGCAGCTGACGACATGGAGTCTGATAACACCCCAAAACGACCTGCCTCCAGCACAACACACACTCCAACACTAACTCCACATAAATATAAAAAACAAAACAAAGTTTTATCTGCTGAAGCTCGTCAGGCCAAACGTGATTCTGATCGACTCAGGATGAAAACACGGATCAACATCGGCAGAGCTTTTGAATTATTAGTAAACTCAACTGAAATAGCAAGGTAAACTACATGAGACATGGAATGAATACAAAAGACTGTTCCAGGATAAGAAAAGGTGCTTTAGGATACTTGTTTTATGTACTAGATCTACGTTATAGATCGTTACGCTATAATGTAATTCATCCCACTATCATATTGTTTATAATAAACATTTCCAGACACGTTCAGTACAGTAATGTTACTTCCTACTGTCTTACTGTTACACTGACATTGTTCAGTCTAGTTCACTAACCGTTTTCGTTATCATTATTATACATTCGCCTATGTTGACATTGTTGATTGTGAAAGATACACGAATAGTTAGTGAAATGCCGTAGGCTATGCTAGATAACACCACATGCCGGCTAAATGCAGTCAATGTAACGTTATCATGGTACGAGCATGGAGCATTAGTTCAACGTCAAGCTGATAAAAGTAGCCTATTATTGTAACGTCGCAGTGGGAGTTTACATGAGTTTCCAGCATGTTGTGTGATGCTTTCGCCGTTGCGTTGAAAGTCTCCGTGTGCCCGGTAGTGAATGCTCGCTCCTGAGATCGCACACGCACACGAGCACGAGCGCTCTTGTTGCAATCTGAAATATCACCACTAGAGGCCGCTAAAAGTTCCATAGAGCACCTTTAACTTATATTTTTCATATTTTTGACATGGCATGAATGTACCCTGACGTTGTGGTATTTTGTCCACTCTAATAAAACAAGTCTACCATTTCAAAACCACTAAATTAGATCATTTGGCATATACAAAAGAAAAGGCCCTAGCTAGTATCACATCCTCTTTTGGTCTACCATACTGACCAAGACAAATGACGTGAGTCATATTAATAGAGATCTAGCTCTGAACAAATACCAAGCACTTCTGCCCAAGGACTAAATGTCACTATGTTTAATCATGAAAGCCTGAGCTGAACATAAGGAACATAACTAATTAAAATATATTAGATTTGTCATTGCTTTTTTTTATTAAGTAGAAATAATAGCTGTTGGTTGAGGATGAGGTAAATTAACATTAGTTCATTATGCCTACATTTGAATCCAAATGTGTTCATAAATGGCCATTGTTTTATTTGTATGAAAACCTGCATAAGTGCACACCCAATCATAATAAAGCCAATTGTTTACCATCTGCTTTTGAAGAATTTGTTACAGTGGGTTATTCCTGAAGTGTTGGGTTCTTACTGATGTTGAACTCAACATGCTTCCTGTGGAATTTTTGTAAGATACACAGAAAGTGTAGACTGAAAGTTTTGTATAGTACACTATTGTGTGGGATCACAAATCTTTCATGGAAAACCATTTTTTTATTTTCATGTACTTTTGAGGATTAAAATCCAAACTTTCTCAAAGGAAGTGTTTGTCTCTATTCTTGATGTCCTTTCACAGGCACTTGGGTTTAATAAAAAAATACACACACACACAATAAAAGGATCACGGATTCCTCAAAACTATTAAGCAACTATTTTTAACACTGATAATAATATGCTTCTTGGGCAGCAAATTAGCATATTCGAATGATTTCTGAAGGATCATGTGACAGAAGACTGGAGTAAAGATGCTGAAAATTCAGCTTTGATCACAAGAATTAAATAAATTTCAAAATATATTAATATAGAAAACATTTACTTAAAATTTTAATATTTCACAATACTACTGTTTTTACTGTATTTTTTTGATCAAATGAATGCAGCCCTGGTGAGACTTTCAAAAACATTACAACTCCAATGGCAGAGAGATGCATTCACATTTTCCCAGTGGAATTTCCATGAAACAAAACTCCTCAAATCGCATTTCTAATGAATAATCAAACAAACACACACTGTGAATCAAAGAGGGATTTTTTTTAATAAAAAGCAGAACCAAAATGCAGTTATAAAGAGCTGACACTGAGAAAGCTTTTCCCTTTCCATTTTCCCCTTTGAGAGCCTGACCAGCCTAAAGCTTGCAGTAAGCCGCATTCCTCGAATTAAAAAAAAAATACAACAACAAAAAAGTATATAGTCTCAAAAACAATATATAGAGAACATTAAGATCTTAATGGACAGCGATGAGAGTGAGAAATTGTGAAGCTTCATTATTTCACTGCATGCATCTCTACAGCTCTCCCTGTCTGACCCTTGGACACTGACCTTGGAAAATGATGTCAGTTTAGATACGATAGGAAGAGTTTATCCTCAGATTAATGATCAGTGGTTCCACTATCATGAGTAAGCCCATATTGCACCCTGCGCTCCCTTATAATCATTAGTACTGGTGGATCTGGAAAGGGTTAATTATTATGGCACACTGACCTGATTAATGAATGATACGCAAGATTAAAAATAGTGGCGGGTGGGTGCATTTGGACTAGATTAATGCTGCGTTCCATTCAAAGTTTGATGTGGGATGTTCCTATCGCTCGCTTCCACAACCACTTTGTTGATGGCCTACAAAAGATGGCCTTTGAATAAAAATTCTAAAGAAACAAAAAATGTGAAAAAATATTTCATTCCTAATAAAAACATGTGTCTTTAACATGTTGTCAAACAAACAACCGTCAGTAATGCTGATTTAAATCTCAGTTAGTTTCAAGCTGTTTGATATATGTTTGAATCACTAAAAAGAATAGACTCAAAAGAGTTATTCATTAGTGAACCGGACTTCCCTGGTTTCACTTTCTCAACAGGGTCATTCATTCGGGAATTGGACCCCCTTGACTCAAAATAGTAATTTATTTGGGAATTGAACTAGTTGAGCTGTATTTTTTTTTGATCCACCAAAAAGAATCCAAAAGTTTAGTTTCCCTAAAGCAACTATGATCGCAAGTTCTGTCGTTCCCAACAGAGATTAATGGAACTTGCGACCAAAGTTGGCCAGCGATGCTTTTGGGTAACACACCACTGGTCGCTCTGTATGTTTGCGCGAATTGGATTTGCATGGTCTTGCTACTGTATATAGCTAACAGGGAACATTCTCCTTACTTCCGTAAGGAGCGTTTCTTAGGCAAGCATTCTTCCAGTATTGTTAAAAAAACGTTATTTCAAAGTTATCTGGTTTTGAATAATGTTCTCAGAATATCTCAAAATAATTTCCTGAAACTGAATGGAACACAGCATTTGATTGGCCAATTAGTCTGTCAGTCAAAACAGGGTGGAGCTCTACACTAGGTTGCTGTAAACCTCTAACACAGCAAAAGCAGATACATGCATCATGGGGAATGTAGTCATTTGCAAATGAACAATGTCAAATCTACGAACCATGGTAATCATAAGAATAATGATAATAATATCAATAATAACAACTTATAACAAGAGAATTTTAGAGAGTATAAAAGTAATTGTGTTAACACATGAAGAGCGAGCTTCGGTGGGTCTACCTGGGGTAGTTCTTGGGGTACCGTTGCCTGATAAGTGTGTAAACATTTGCAGGGGACGACAATCTTGGCTCAAATATGTAAACAGTGAACACTGTGATGCCTTTTACAGCACCATTCTCCTGTGATGGAGCCACAGCAATACTGCAAGAAGGAAAAGGGGAGGGGCTTGTGTGTTTTTGTGAAAAACAGCCTGTGTTAATTGCGTCTGGGGTTCACTTCGAACATGCAGGCCACGACAAACATGGCAGTGCAGTGAGAAACATGCATCTACTGAGAGTTCGGGGTTAAATCCCCAACAATTGCTCAGTTTTCCCATAGTTTGCAGTGATGGCAACACTGCATCACTTCAGGGCTTGGTCACTGTATCCCAGCGGTCAATGAAACATGTTCTTAATCATTTTACTTAGTGTTAGATGAGGCCATAAACTTGCAACCTTCATCAGTATTGTATGTCAGTATATAAACTCCCTAAAAAGATGGCATGAGGCCATAGAAACCTTAGAAAGACATTAGAAAAGAAAGACACTTGCTGAGGTCTTTTGAAGAACGCTGAGGGACAGATCTTGCGGTGGAATAACTTTAAACGCACAGACGTACATGTCCTTGTCCATATTGTGTGAAAGGACGCCCGGAACAGTCAATGTACGCATTCTCCCATGCAACAGCCGTCATTCAAATATCCGGGTCATGGCACCAGAAAATGGCCTCCTGATCAAGGGCCCCGGAGAAGCTTCAGAAGTTCATCTTTAATTTTGTTCTTCAGTTCAGATGTAAACATGGAGAGTCCAGGGATGGATGGCAAACCACGGTCCAGAAAATCACACACCTGCACGCTGCTTTCAGCTGATTGGTGGTTTTCGCCTTTCTTTTACCAACCTCTCTCGTCTATGCTCTCCATCTATGTCATCCATCTTGTTTTTTACGGCTTATCAACCCTCTCAATCACCCTGCCCTCATCTGTCAGGAAGCTTGACGAATGCCTCCTCCTGCTGTTTTTCCCTTTCACTCACTTCTCTCGCTCTCTCTTTGCCTCTCCCCTCTCTCTCCGTGGCATTGATTTTCTTTTTTTGAATTATGGCCGGGTCCTAAGTCTCCTCTTCTCCAGTTGACACAACCAATCTTGCAGCCACTGAGAGGTGGTCAGTCAATCCAGCAAGTTGAGTGATGAAGCTCAACTCCTCTATATCCTGTAAAGGGTAATAGATCAAGTCATTAATAACTATTAAAATAACAGCAAAAATATATATACCATATAGAAATTTATACCTGTGAATATTTGAATTGGAACAGATGTGTCAGCTACTATTTATCTTTTTGAATGCTATTCCAACAGTGCTCCATGGGATCGCACCACAGAGTAAAGTAAGTATAACGAAACATATTAGTTGACTGCCTGACATGAATACTGTAGAGTTATGAACCAATGAAGTGAAGTAACATACTACTCTTACTATTTCTGCATATACTGTGCACAGTAGGCAAATTTCTGCATGCATATTATCTGTGAGAGTGGATTTGCCAAAATGTGCAGTAGTATTATAATAATGTAAATGTAAAATACCATATCACACAATGCAAAGCTGTTAACTTGACCTTTCATTTCCAGTGTGATAAATAACAAAACCCGGAAGCAATAACAGCTGCACTGTGACAAATTTTCATAATTGTTTAATATAGTAATATTGATCATTTAAAATTACAATTTGAACTCACTGCATAAAAAAAAGAAATAATTATTTAATTAAGAACAGTTTAATTTCCAAGATAACTGACTAAACATTTGTTTAACTTTTTTACATTTTATAACTTAAAATGTCTTAAACTTTTATTTGAATATTTTCAGTTTACATTTTAATTATAGTTTAAAATGATGTGCTTTTGTCATTTTTATTTATTTTATTTGTCATTTTTCTATTTAGCTTCATTCTGATGTTAATTTCGATCATAATTTTAGTAAATACCGGTATTACATTTACTTCAACTTTAACTCAAACAGTTAGTTGCCAGGGCAACATTTCGTCTAAGTTTCTCTTCTAATATTAATATTTTATTTTATTTCAGCTTTTATTTTATTTCAGTTAACGAAAATTATTTTGAATACATTTAATTTTAGTTACCAATAACAACACTGAGCAGTATACCATTTGTACAATTGAGTATACCTATATTCAATTACGAATATAAGCTAAATGTTTTAACACAGAAGAATGCTACACTGCTGTCATATGACCTATTTATATGACACATTTAATGCAGCATCCAGTGGCATGCAGTTAACGTTTTTTTCACAATCCGCCAGCTGGAGTGTCCATGATTGCCACCAGAGGGCACTCCTTCCGTCTCCTTTACTACCTCATCCTGAACTCCATTTCCCAGTATGCATTGCCTTACTCATTATGATTGATATTATATGTGTTAGTTATGTGTGATTACCTAGCTCGTTTGCTCTGCCTTTATAGGTTATAACTTATATGCTCTGTGTTTCCACTCATTCGTTGCGAAGTCTTGTTTGTGTTACAACTGCAATTCTGCGTGTTCTATCCTGGTTTCCAGTTTCATGGTTTTGATCTTTCGCCTGTTCTTTGTATGACCTTGTTTGCCTGTGTTTCATGTTTGGGTTGTTTGTCCGTGTTTTTGACCCTGTGCCTGTTTATGGATTGCGACTGAATAAAAGCTGCTTTTCGATCTTTAACCTGTGCTTTTGTGATGATGCAGATTTGAGATTAACCGCGGTGCAAGTGTGTGCTGAACCATGGGTCGAGAACTGTTACACCTCTAGTGTATTGCATTGTGGGATATGATACCCAATGCAGTGAGTTCTGTTGTTTAGTACACATTTTAGCAAATGTATTCTGGATATTATTTTATTCATCGAATAAAAAAAATACGCAAAGTACATGTACAGTACACCACCATGGACATGGATTAATGTTTTCATTATTTGCATAATGCACCTGAAAAGGGAAGTAGGTTTATTAATGTTAACTCACCACTTTCCAGTCTGGTTGCAAGCCTTCCTCTTTATAAAGAATGTAATCGATTCTCCTGCCATTGCCCTTCAGGGGGATTTTGCGCCCCTTCTGGCTGGGACAATGGTTCTTGCTTGCGGGGAACACCAAGTACTCTTTTCTCCCCTCTTCATTCTCCATCACTCTGTCAGAGAAATGTTAAATGACTGAGTGTTTACCGTGAATGCATACAATAATCTATATAAACACACATATTTGTGTTCAACTTACTTTTGTAGGCTCTCTGGTGAGCTGACCTCCTCATCATATAGCCCAGTCGTGTCCAGCAATGTACCTGTACAAGATGCATATGTAAAAACGCAACACATACAGGTTATATATGAACTGGAGATTTTTAATATATTTATATCCTGTGAGTATGACTACTGAAAAGACCCTTAGATCACAGATATTTGACATCTATGTGCACTCAAGGTCTCTTAGGAGCAGGACCAGAGTAACACCAGCATTAAAATGAGCTCAAGGGAAATCTGTATGAGTCACGACTGTGGTTCTGATATGCATATATACATGACTCTAATTGGCCATCTCCACCCAACCGTTTTCTCTCTTCTGTTATTCCTCTTAATACTTCACTAATTCTAGCATAGCCAGATTGATAGTTCCAGTACTTTCCATGAAGGTGCTCTTTGTGACCACTGTTTTTTACTTTAGCAATATATGAAGTATAAACTGCATATTTAATAAAACAATCAATCAATATATATATATATATATAAAATAATATTAATAATGGAATAAAATAGTATAATATAGAACATATAATATAGTAAAATAAAAAAAATGTGTAGCTGTCTATATACACTCAATTTATTAAATATATACATTACATATTATAAAAGCATTTATATATATATATATATATATATATACACACATATGTATATTAGGGGTATATATATTTATATATACCCTCATGTCACGATTCGATACATATCACAATACTGAACACACGATACAATATTATTGCGATACTCCAAGACATATGGTAAAAGGTTAACAAAAAATGTACTGTTGATTAAAATGCTAAATTTAGTATTACATTGGGGGTGGAAATAAACAGGCTTTGGGGAAGTCCCAGGACAATGGTGAAAACAGAATAAAAATATTCATGATTCTGAAACTGAAAATACAGAATTATTTTATAGAATATGCTTGAACTCTGTCACTGACTAGATATATTTAAAATAATGTGGCCACTTTTTACTGGTAAGACATTTGGCATTATCAGGACCCACAAATATTTCCCCATTACATTAATATACATTATATTCGACATTATACACTCACCTAAAGGATTATTAGGAACACCATCCTAATACTGTGTTTGACCCCCTTTCGCCTTCAGAACTGCCTTAATTCTACGTGGCATTGATTCAACAAGGTGCCTAAAGCATTCTTTAGAAATGTTGGCCCATATTGATTGGATAGCATCTTGCAGTTGATGGAGATTTGTGGGATGCACATCCAGGGCACGAAGCTCCCGTTCCACCACATCCCAAAGATGCTCTATTGGGTTGAGATCTGGTGACTATGGGGGCCATTTTAGTACAGTGAACTCATTGTCATGTTCAAGAAACCAATTTGAAATGATTCGAGCTTTGTGACATGGTGCATTATCCTGCTGGAAGTAGCCATCAGAGGATGGGTACATGGTGGCCATAAAGGGATGGACATGGTCAGAAACAATGCTCAGGTAGGCCGTGGCATTTAAACGATGCCCAATTGGCACTAAGGGGCCTAAAGTGTGCCAAGAAAACATCCCCCACACCACCACCACCAGCCTGCACAGTGGTAACAAGGCATGATGGATCCATGTTCTCATTCTGTTTACGCCAAATTCTGACTCTACCATCTGAATGTCTCAACAGAAATCGAGACTCATCAGACCAGGCAACATTTTTCCAGTCTTCAACTGTCCAATTTTGGTGAGCTCTTGCAAATTGTAGCCTCTTTTTCCTATTTGTAGTGGAGATGAGTGGTACCCGGTGGGGTCTTCTGCTGTTGTAGCCCATCCGCCTCAAGGTTGTGCGTGTTGTGGCTTCACAAATGCTTTGCTGCATACCTCGGTTGTAACGAGTGGTTATTTCAGTCAAAGTTGCTCTTCTATCAGCTTGAATCAGTCAGCCCATTCTCCTCTGACCTCTAGCATCAACAAGGCATTTTTGCCCACAGGACTGCCGCATACTGGATGTTTTTCCCTTTTCACACCATTCTTTGTAAACCCTAGAAATGGTTGTGCGTGAAAATCCCAGTAACTGAGCAGATTGTGAAATACTCAGACCGGCCCGTCTGGCACCAACAACCATGCCACGCTCAAAATTGCTTAAATCACCTTTCTTTCCCATTCTGACATTCAGTTTGGAGTTCAGGAGATTGTCTTGACCAGGACCACACCCCTAAATGCATTGAAGCAACTGCCATGTGATTGGTTGATTAGATAATTGCATTAATGAGAAATTGAACAGGTGTTCCTAATAATCCTTTAGGTGAGTGTATATAGTAGTTTAATGTAGTACTGACACAAACTCTGTAAACTTGATTTTTTTATCATATATTTATATATATATATATATATATATATATATATATATATATATATATATATAAACACGCACTTTGGTATAATATTTTCTATATTATATATCCCGAATTGTGTGGGATGCGATAATTCTGGAACCAAAATAAATGGGTTGTGGACAAATTAAGGTTGAGAACCCCTGTTCTTGAGGTTAGTAGCAAAATTGTCGTCTTTCCATTACATTTTTATAGATAGAGTGTGAATCTTTGTACTCTCACCAGGCCTTGAACCTCAGAGGAGAGAAAAAACAGGGTGTGCTATAAAGAAAAGTGGATCACGCCCACTAATGGCGCCCACTAAAATCAGAAGTGTCATTAAAGGCCTGCACTCCGTTAGATCTATTTCAGAAGTGGGGCTGGGCAAGAAGTTCTCTACTGTGGTCTCCTGCCAGCTCATCTAGTGCACCATCTGCGTACGGCGCGCTGAGCACAGGCGTGTGACATCTAATTTAGCTCTGACACGGAGGCAACTCCAAAATCTCACATTTGTGGGAAAAAAAAGATGGTTACTATACTATTTTAGATCATTTTGGAAAAGGTTATCTATTAAATATTTAATACAAATATAAAATATTTTAAATATATAAATAAATGAACTATTTAATAAGAAAACAAAATGTATAATTGTATTAATATATACCCTTACATATATACACTTTTCCTTAAACATTGAAATCTTGATTCTTTTAACCCTTTTTACTGAACTCACCTAAGGCCCACGGTTTGTCCTCTCCGGGACCAAGACGACAGGGGTCTTTATAATGATTGAAGAGGGAATGCTGTTGTTCCAGCTTATCCTCTAAATGACAGAAACATTGTGAGACAGAAAGAGTTTCAGAAAGGGTTACATTGCCTCCTTCTGGTCATACACAACAAGATAGTTTAATGTTGGCCACCTCCTTCCATTATATTAAATAAAAAAATATATTTAATATTCAAAGTAATTTTACAAGATACATTAGAAAAATTAAACGGGATATTACTATTGAGTGCATAGTTCTGGCTCTAAAATATGATGTAAAAAAATGTGAAAGATTAAAATCTTATTTTTTTATTGTATATTTTATTAAAAGTTATAAAGAAATTAATTGTGAAAACCTTGGGAGAACTGTTTTTTTGCAATAATAATTCTTCTGCCAAGTTTCTTTCACATTTTGTAATTTGTATTTTTTTTATATAATAACAACAATAAAAACAAAAGCAATTCTAATTATTATTACTATTTATTATTATTATTATTATAGTAATAAAAAAATGGTGAAACACTTGGAAAAATGTTGCAATAATAATAATAATGATAATAATAATATTAAACATTTCTTCTGCTAAGTTTATGTCGCATTTTGTAATTTCTTTAAATAATAGCAATATTAATAAAAACAATAGGAAGTATTATTATTATCCCTACAAACTATTATTAATTCTACTATGACTACTAATATATATATATATATATATATATATTAATAATAATTATTATTAACATCATTATTAATAATAATTATTAATACAAATATAATGATAATAACTTTTTTGAATATTATTGTATTTTCTCATAACGAGTTTTACTAAATAAAATGGACCAATTGAGTCAAATTGGGATTGTTGTTAAAGCCATTAAGTTAAACCCAGCTGTTATATACATTTATTACTAGTAGCCAAAGGTATAATACATTTTGCCCTAAATAAATAAACACCTGAAGGGCATTTCTTTACATCCTAAATCTGCAGATTCCACGTGGCCTGCTTATTGCTTTAGTATTAAAACCCCATATGTTTTTAACGAAGAAAATGCTGGTACCCGAAGAGCAGTTGTCAAAGTTGAGGTCTCCGAGGATGACGTCGAAGGCCACCTGATCTTCCAGAACCTTCTCCTCGTCCATGGGAGCCAAGGTGTTCCTCCTAAACTCAGCGCCCCACTCCAGCAGCATGTCCAACTGCTCGCAGCGCACAGATGCATCACCTGAGAGAGGAAGACAGATTTACACAAACAATACCTATCAACAACTCAATCTAATAAAACACAAATGTCATTTTACGGAGGGTTTTATTCAATAAAAAGTGCACGGATCGCATTGTGTAAAACAACTCATTTGATTTGGGGGTAATACAATGAAACGGCGTCGCACTGAGGTGCCTTCAGTTTATCACATTTTCACGACTCGTTCTGAGGCAGTTATGGCAGATGTAGCGATTTAATGAGGCCAGGGTGGGAAAACAGAGCCAAGAAGAGTGCGAGAGAGCAGTGAAGCATAGAAAAAGAGGGGATGTCTGCAACATCTCCCTTCTGCTTTGGTGGAGCTGGCAGTGGCAAGTGTAGAAGAGAGAAAGAACAGCAATTTAATTGCAAACCTCAAACAGTAGCTGAAGTGTGTGTGCTTTGGTGCTAACAAATAACCTTTAACAAAATCTCTTAAAGGTGTAGTGTGTAATTTCTGCACCTCTAGTGTTACCAAATGTTCACTTGATTACTTGATTCTGATTGGCCAATCAAAGCATTCTGTTTTATGTATTATTTTGTTCACTTGCACTTCACAATGTTGCAATGTTCAAAAGTTTGCAGTCTGTAACATTTTTTGGTAATGCTTTAGATTACAGCCCACAAAGTACTGTGCAAGTAAAAGGAATTTACAATGCAACATTTGGTAATTATAGTGTACTGTACATATACATACATGTAGGTTTAAAGGAACAATATGTAATGTTTGTGGAATAAAGGGGTCACAACCAGGAAATTCAACAAATTATTAATACTATTAAGTATTTTAGAACTATCGGGTACTATTATGATAGGCAACAATATACATTTGGGAGTAATTTAGCAAGAACATACACTGCATACCTTTTTGTAATAATAGTGTATACATACAGCAATACATACATTATATATCAAAGGTGCAGCTGTTTTAGTTTGTTTCATTAGTTCTGTGTTGAAATTAGGGGACAATTGTGGTTCTTTATAGGAAAATAAGGGACACTTAAAATATTTGTACTGTAACACACAGTGTATGTCATTTCAGTGTCTGCAGTTAGGTTTGTGTTTAAAAGCCTCTTAGACATAAAAATGCATGAAGGCTGCATACGTCTTCAAGGATGTCTAATTTAAGAAAACGAACCGTAATACAATTCACTTATTCCTTGTGAAGTGTAAAATAGTGCAATTTCTTTCTTACTTTGCAATCTGCGGATACTTTTCTTAAAGGAGACCGCCGCGATGGCGTATGCAGCCTTCGAAATGAGACGCAGCAAGTGAAAGGGATTTGACGTTAGCGTGGGGCTGTGATTGGATGATGACAGGTTTCGGTGTCGCTGTCGGTGATCATTCTCAAAGACTATTGGAACTTTTTTTTTAAATACTGGGGAAATATACTCTCGTTCCATTTAGTTACAGGGTAAGTGGTGCTTGTTTACCCTATTGTTCCATGTAGTTACAAGGCAAGTTTGACATCTGCAGTCTGTAAATTAAAATGGTGCTTGTTCCCTGTTCCTTCCACCAGCTGCAGTGCCCATGATCTCCACCAGAGGGCACTCCTCCCGACTCCCTTGCTTTCCCACCATGAACTTCTATTTCAAGCGATAGTCTACACTGTAAATTTGTTTTACTTACGCAGTACTTTCTGGGCTGTAATCTAAAGCGCTACCAATTTTTTAAGTTTGTGAAAGAAATCACACCATAGCTGCATTTATTAGATGAAAACTGCAGTAATATTTTTTATATTATGACTTATTAGTAGGCTACAATTAAAAATAACTTTTTTCTGTTTTAGTTGAAAGCTGAATTTTCAGCATTAGAACTCCAGTCTACAGTGTCACATGATCCTTCAGAAATCATTCTAATATACTGATTTGCTGCTCAAGAAAACTGTTGTGCTGCTTCATATTTCTGTGGAGAGACACAATTTTTTAGTTCTGTCTGAAAATGTAAGATATTTGATACTTAAATTAAACAATTTAGAACTTCATTATACATAAGAGCAGCCACTGAGCCATGCAATTTCCTTCTAGGCTGCTTGAAATCTCAAACCTGCAAAAGAAACCACATTTCAGTATTTTCAAGGCAAGTAACCTTGTGCGTACATCAGGAGAATAACTTAAATCCGCCTCTGCACTGTCAAAGTCTATAGCACACACACACACACATCTGTATTTTTTCATCTGTGTGTGTGACCCTAAGTGATCCACACAAATACAAATTGCTTTTAGACTTGTGGCTGAATACAAAGACAACTTGCAAATCAATAAACCCTGACCTGCCTTCAAAGCATGCATGTAAGCAAATGAAACACATGTGTACAAACACACACACACACACACACACACACACACACACACTGTTTGACAGAGGAAAAAAAGCGATTGAGAATAACCAGAGATGCTCTGCCTCCTCTAATAACTGAAAAGTCCCTGTCCAGCATCATCTCCCGTATAATCAGGTTTCTCTTGCCTTCTTCCCCGTTTCTTGTCTCATGTTTCATTTATCCTCCTGAAATAGCCCCTGCTCTATAATTAGAATGGGTGGCAGACACACGGAGGCGTGGGTGGATCCCGGAATAGCAAGAGAATGTCTTCGTAAAAAATGAGCGCTAGAGACCGTGAGCTTTAAATAGGGCTGACGCCAGGAACGGCGTCGTCATGGGAACCGGGACCCTGTGGGCGAGCGGGACACGTTGATTAATCGAAGCGGAGAACAGGGGTCAACATGCAGTGATGTCATAGGCCCCGCACGTGAAGTGCCGATTCGGGTATGTGTGCATGACACGAGCTACTGAGATAAAGCAGAGAAGACTAGTTTTTTTTTTACGGTTCGCACAAAAGCGCACAAATACACACAACCGTTTCCCTGCTCTGTGTGGAAATCTACTCAGATGTGTGGCAAACGAGCAGTAGGATCGGGACAAACCTGTCAGGATCACTCAGCATCAGCGCTCTATAGTCAGAGTACCACAACTCCACTGGGGTTTAGTGTGTCGCTAAAACCTGAAAAACCGACATTGTGGGAACCTTGTAGTCCCGACTACAAAAAATACACTAATTAACAACTTTTTAAAATTATAATTAGCTTAATTTAAGAACTTGATTTGAGGTGGAATCATTTATTAAAATGAAATTAATAAAACAACATTAATAGTAGGCTAATAATAATAATTACAGATTTAACAATTCAATACTATAGATATAATTTTTGTAATATAATACCAACCAACTCTTGCTTGTACTGGACTATTGTGTACATTGTTCATTTCTTGTTCTTCCTTGTTGTTCGTCATCTTCGCATCAGCTGTGATAAAGAAACATCCACTCTTCGCACATTTTGGGGGCGGAGCAATGAAGGGAGGGTTGTCCTTGTTTGGGTCGATTTCAAATATCAACAGCTTTTCTCAGAAATCGCTTACTGCACCTTTAAGTCACTATGATGTGACTCGAATCCCTCTGTGTACTCTGTGTGTGTGTAGACACCTACCTTCAATAGCATGCAGATGAGTACAGGTGATATATCCAACGACCCGTTGTTCCTGAGCAGAGCTTCCAACCTGCACCTGAGAGAATAGAGCAGGAGGACAAAAGAGATTGAAGAGTGAGAACTTTGCCACATCAAACGTGTTATTGAAATGCAAAATCAGTTATGAAGGGCTGTCGAACACCCCTGAGAGGTGTTACACTCTCTCTCGATCAGCTTCTTCTGTCATAACTCTCTCAGATGTCTGGGGTCCATGTTAAAAGGTAAAAGTCAGAGCATGCACAGCTCTGAAAGGTTCAACACCTGCTCAGATCATCATGTTATCCAGCTGCACCAAATTCCACAATTTCATCTTGTTTTTATGCATAATATCAGCACATTAGTGAGCTGAGGACTAAATATTGGATATTGAAATACTGAATGTTGAGTGATAAGAGCAAATGTAACACCTAAAATTCTGCAATGTCAGCACTTACCATTTGTGTGTGTGTGTGTGTGTGTTTGCGTGTGTGTGTGTGCGTGTGCTCAAAAGTTTACATACCCCTTGCAGAATCTGTAAGACTTAGAAGCTACAGAAAATACTTACATGTTTCGCAGAAGACAAAAATTACAATTTACCCTGATCATCCAATTCAAAACGTTTACACCCCCAGCTCTTAATGCATCATGTTTCCTTCCTGAGCGTCAGTGAATGTTTTCAGCTTTTGTAAAAGTTGCGTCAGAGTCGTTCAATTGCCCTCAGGGTGAAAAGATGGATTACAAAATCATACAGTGACTGCTGGAAAGGGTTCAAATATGCAAAAGATGTTGAAGAACCAAAGATGATGTAGGACCTAGAGGAATTAACTGCTCAGGACAAACAAATGACTCGTGAACAACCGTCACTAAACATAAAAACCAAAGTTAAGAATCAAAGGTATATGTGCATTTTTGAATGGGGTCATTTTTATAAATTCAGCTATTATTTTGTCTTGTGAACTATGATTCTGCAAGGGGTATGTAAACTTTTGAGAACAGCTGTATAAATAAATTGTAATAAGTAAATACAAAAATCAATTGCTTTAAATGCTATAAGTGAATTTAGGCATCACAACATTATAATGCAAATGCACAGTATGAAAAATCGACATGGAGATTTGCTAAAGATTAAATGTAACAGTTGTTTTTATTTTATTTTTATTTTATAACTGTAGGTGAGCATTAAATGACAGCAAAAGTAAAATAGGGAAATTAGCATGCATGTTTGTTTGTGTGAGTCTGTTCGTTCATTCTGCCACCTCTCTGTCCTCTTTTCATCCAGACAGCCCATTCAGTGTAAATCATTTAATGACTTACATTGGCTTATTCCCAGCAAAGACTCAAAATGCTGAGAGCTACAGAACGGCTGGACTTTCCAAATACTGAAGCCCTCCACAGAGAGCAAGTTCTACATTTCAGCAGTGGTTGATAATAAATGTCATTGTTCTTTAGAGGTGATTTGTAGATTTAATTACAATAATGAGAATCTGACCATGTGGTCTTTACCATGAGCTCATTGCACTGGATCAAACAGGGCTAGCACTCTTTCATTTCATTCCTTGCTTTTTCCTCACTCAGCTTCATTGCCTTTCTCTGTTCCATAGCTTCATGGCCTCTCTTTCTCTTTCTGTGTCCTTGCGTATGAATATTTCAAATGTTTATCCATGCTTGGATAAGTGTGTGTGTGTTTGCAGTGACAGACTAGAGGAGGCAGGAAACCCAAAGGGCTGAAAATGTTTTGTCTATAGGGAATAAAATTTGTTAAAAAATAAAAAAATATTACAGTATCGTTAGCACCAACAATTAGATAAAAAAAAACACCTTTTTTTATGTTTGTATGTTAATAATAATCAGACAACATTTTGACCCCCCCCCCCCCACACACACACACACACACACACACACATTTAAAAAAATAATTGTCATAAATATACTGAATCCAATAATTAATACCATATCAAATAAATTGTATAAGTAAAATAAAGGAATGTGTTTGATAGCATATTTGTTTTTCTGTGGTATCGAAATTGATATTCAAATTTCACTGGTATTGGTGTTAGATACTGAAATGTTGCTATTGTGACAAATCTAGTGTCTTAGATATGTGTGTGCAAGGGTGTTGTGACCTCGCACAATGTTTTATCTGAGCTAAAGTCCATGTAAGGTTATGTCTTTTTATTGAGTGTGCATACATGCAAATAAGTGTTAATGAGCACGAGCAGTGTGCTAATTGGAATGTGTCTGCCACTTGTGGGATCTCTTATAAGGTTAAAGATTATTTGCCCAAAGGAGAAACAGTCGGCTGGCTAGGTCCAGCACACACACACACACACACACACACACACACACAGAGAGAGGGAGAGGCTGGCTAATGAACTTCCTCTCGTTCTTCTAATCCACTCCTGCTGGCAGCTTGAATGCTGAGCTGATAACACACACACACAGCAATAACATGACTAAAGCTGAAGACGGCTAGTACTTTACACTAACAAAGCATTGCAAATAGAGCTGACCACAGCAGGAGCAGTGGGTCACGGTCTTTTACTGAAAGGCGGCACTGATTGCTGTAGAATCTTCAAGTTTTAATGGGACAATTTTGCAATCCTTCAGCATTTTAATTTTTCCTCCTGAACACAATGTATAATAGCAGTCACATTTTCTTGCACTGAAAACAGTAGTTAAGTATTATTCAACCATTTTACATCCTTTCTTGGCCTCATTCATGAAACACAAGCAGAACAAATTCACGAGTATGTCACTCATAAATCCATTCATACATAATTATCCCATTGAACTAAACAACAACTTTTGTAAGAATGGTTGTATGTACTATTTATGCAGATTCGTTCTGTTGTCACCTTTAGAGTTAACCAAGCTGTTTTTGCTACTGTACCTTTAACGCATCTCTGTATTTAAAGGGGTCATATAATGGTACATGCACTTTTACAAGTTGATTGTACTGAAATGTGTGTTGGCAGTGCCTGTACACAACCATCATAAAATGATAAAAATCCATCCAGTGTTTTTGTTTTAATCTCCTTATATGTTTTCCCCTGCCTCAAATCGAGCCGTTCGACCGTGTGACGTCACACGGTCGGACACCCCTCCCACGATTGTTGATTGACAGGAGCGTTTCAACACAGACCCGCCCTCGCTCTTGAGGGAGCTGTCAATCATAGTGCGCGCGGACTGGCGCGGTCATTGTTGATATGCTGGAGCACTGTCTATGAGCAGAATGGCGTCTAAGCGATTGTGGTGTTCTGTTCTTGGGTGTAATAACGAACACAGCAGTCATTTTAATGTTCCTAAATCCGAACCGCTGAAGACGCAGTGGCTGAGTTTGTTTTCGAAGGGAATATTCCACACGAGCAACGTCAATGCTTTCATGTTTGCGCGAATCATTTCACACACCATGCTTTATAAACGAGGGTCAGTATAAAGCTGGATTTGCTAAGAAGCTGCTCATGAAAAAAGGATTGGTACCAGATATTCGTGTTCCTGCTGAATCTCCAGAAGAACGGAAGTGAGTGTAACGTTTTATTAACCTTTATATTAATATATTAATCTTTGCAAATCGCTAGCTGCACGCTTCACAATGAATGCGTCTAAGGTTTACACTCAGGGTACATTACGGCATGTTTTCTATGTATGACGTTCTCAATATAATTCATAATCCCACGTTTATACTGAACAACGCGTTATGGTTATTGTGTTATTGAGTTACAAATGGTGTACGCATACAGAGAGGCAGGGAGAGCAAAGCTCATTATCATTTAAAGTCATATGCACTGAAACGGCGTGCTGAAAACAGAGCTGTTTTTGACCAGGTAAAATAAGTGTTTTCTTACAATACTAATGAGAATTTTTAATTAAAGTATATTACAAACTTTTAATTTAGACCCTAAAGAATCATATTAGCTTGTACAAAAATGGCATTATATGACCCCTTTAAACAACCTCTGTTACGATTTATTTTGCAACATAGTTTCCATAAATGTTCTGGGTGGACTGGATAGTTCTGCATTTTGAATGCTGATGCATGAAATATTCGTTTCAAAAGAGCAATGGAAGTCCTGAAATGTGTCTGTTCGAACAGAGCAGGATGAGATTTCACAGATTTATTATTAAGATGCTCACCAAGGCTACATTTCTTTAATAAAAAAAATTCAGTAAAAACAGTAATATTGTGACATATTATTACAATTTAAAATAACTGTTTTATATTTCACTATATTTTAAAATGTAATTTATTCCTATGATGCAAAGCTGAATTTTCAGCATCATTACTCCAGTCTGCAGTGTCACATGATTCTTAAGAAATCATTTGGTAGCCCTTTATTTTAAAGTCCTCTTCGGCATGTACATACTGTACTTATTATAGCAATTACAATAACTAGGTTATAACTACTAGCCCTAAACCTACCCCTAAACCTTGACTTAACCCATGTAGTTACCTTACATTACCAGTACTTTCTTGGGTAGGTACACTGTAAGTACACGTACTGTAAAATAAAGTGTAACCAATCATTCTAAATATGCTGATTTTGTGCTCAACATTTCTTATTATTATCAATGTTAAAAACAGTTGTGCTGTTTTTTTGGAAACAGTGATATTTTGGCATGGAATGTATGGACACACACGTCACCAATTTGCTAACGATCATGCAAACCATAAATGAGCGTTCTACCCATGACGTTAAGAGTGTGGAGAGCTCTTGAATAATAAGAGGGCTGAACATACATGCTGAAAGGCCCTAATTAAAGAGCTGCTCATTCCTACGGGAGGCATTTTTAATTAATATCTCCACTCCACACACAACCCTCCCTGTTTAATTTACACCCCTCCCCCCTCTCCAAATTGTTTGACTGAGGTTCGTCTGTCTTTATTTATCAAAAGCTAAACTTTTATTACTCATAATGCCCAGGGGTGAAAAGCAGTGTTGGGGAGTAATGACCTAAAAGTAGCAACATATACGAATTAAAAAAAATTTTGTAGTGTGACAGTAGTTCTGCTGTTTTTGTGAGATTTTCAGTTCGCAGACCTTGGAGGAGTATCTAAAGTGCATCAATAACTTCTAGAAGCCTTTGGTTAAACTTAGACCCCCGTGAAAGATTGAACGTCAATTCAAGTAATAATCTCTTTAGTGAGTACATATACAGGTCAAAGGCATTGTCCTTCTGTTTCTCTGTGTACAGTCCTCAATATTTAACAGGCTGCTCTCTCTCACACACACATTCAGAGTTAGTATTTATCAGCTCTGTCTGACATATAATGGCGGCTGGCCTCTTGCCCTTTTGGACAGCAAAAGAGATCAGGTCTGGAATGTGGCCAGAATGGGATACAGTGCTGAGGCAGTAATGATATCTCGACCCTAAAAGCCATGATCACCCTAAATGAGCGCTACGCAAACAAAAAATATAAGCTAATATCATGCACAACTACAGACACAAGTTCACATATGCTAAGCATGCAACAACACAACATGCAAACGTCAGCAAATATCAACATTAGTGTAATCAACATTTCAAGTCATTATACACAAAAATCCAGAGCACTAAAATGTTCTTCTAACAATAGTGCAAATCCCAACAACCTTTCTCTTTTACTCATAGACTGTCCATATGCTAGCATAAACAAAATGACTTCTTGTAATTGAAACTTAAAATTAGCATGGCACTACTTGTATTCAACTGTTTAATTCATTGCAGCATTCATAAAGAATTCAGAAAAATGTGTTATTCAAAGTTCGCTAAAATATATCCATTATATTTGTTACCTTCTATGCTTTAAAATAGCTACAGGGCTAAAGTTTAAATTAAACCTATGTTGCTTATGGTAAGTATGCTGTTTACTTAAGTATGTTCTACAGTACATAAAGATCGGCCTGGACTTTCATCATTGTAATTAAATACCAACTTAGATAATCCATCAGTTGCTAGAGCCTACATTCACATATTCTTATATAAACTTTATGTAGAATGCTAGCAACAGCAGCTGCAAGACTAATGACCCTGTCTTTACAATATCCAGACTAAAATGAGCATACAATATTATTTCAGAATGAAACTACTTCTTGAATTGTAATATCTACTCAGCATAAGTGCACAGCCCCATTAAGACATATATAATGCAACAGGGCTGTACGTCCAACCATGGTTCAACAAAGAGAGGAAGCCTGCGTTTCTAAAAGCATGACAGATGAGTGTTTCAAACAAGCCCTCTGGGCTACAAAGGGCTAGTTGTAAATTATTCAGGTTGTTTGTGTATGCTCAAACCACAAGTCCAACTCCAGACACATGCCATGAAACGTTCAAGAACTGGAACAAGCCCTAATGTATCATGTCAACATCAAACACATGCATCAAATGATTTAAAGCAGGTATAAAAATTGACAATCAGAATGAATGGTTTGAATATAAATGATAACTTTTAGAGACCCCTTTACATTGCAGGTCTTGGGGTGCAGTTAATCAAGTTGAAAGGTCCACATGCAATTTACATCAAGGTAGGGTGTAGTATAAATCAACAGAAGTTAAAAAGAATAAATACAGTATCCTGGATATAACAAATGCAAAGATTTCAATCAAGGCAAATGGCTTAACATTTGACATGCTACGTCTAAATAAAGCCATAATAAAGAAGTATAAGAAGCTCACCTTGGCAAAAAGAACTCCTTTAGCAGCCAGAGCATCCTCGCTGCGCCCATTGGGGAAGCATTCATAATGGGCATCCAAAATAGGGTAGCGACTGGCCAACAGAAGCCCGCTGTTCAAGAACTTGAACCGTGAGCAACAGCCTTTCCAGCCATAGCGTCCCACATCGCTCAGCACAAAGGGAAAATAGCGGTGCAGCTGCCTCCTGAGCCTGTCTGCAGCCCGCCTGTCGAAGACTTCTTGTAGACAAAGGAAGTCCAGGTTGGCTGGGAAAAAGGCAGAGATCTCATGGTCAAAGCCGTCATCGCCGTGACGGCGCTTGCGCCCAATCGGTCTTTTGAAGACTGAGGTGCGGTGTTGTGAAAGGGTGTTGTTGGGGGATATGCCTCCATCAGCTGCGTGGAAGCGAACCAGGGATTCCCGAGAGGCTGTGCGGCTTTCTAGGCTACCCGTATCACCGTCCCCGGTCTGATGATTTCCTTTTTCATCCTCGGCTGGCTCAGAATCAGGAGAGGTGATGCTGATTTGCACTCCAGCCGGATGGAGAGGACAGTCTTCTGAGTTCTGGATGATGTTGCTATGTACTGGACACTCACCAGAGGACTCTGGGTCTGCAAACTGGTGGACAGCACAATCAGGAGCATGGTCTTCTGCATTGGAGTGGATAGGACACTCTGAGGAATTCTGGGCTTCAGTGCTGTGGTTTGGGCAATCCGAGCTTGGACCTCCTGATGGGTGAACGGGACACTCATTTAAGGCCTCAGTCTCAGTTTCAGTGGTGACTACAGGCTCTGGACGATGGTCCAAAGAAGAGGTGCGGCGGAAGCCCTGAGTGGCCAAGCTGCAGAAGGATACCGCACTAATTGAAGTATTGGTGGGCGAATCAATATATATCTTGATCTGGGGTCTGCTGGCACCATTACGGATCCGCTTGCCCACTTCCCGAGCTCGGCGTTGAGTGTCCGCAAGGTTGTTGAAGCGTGCAAGCGAGTCTGGCAGCAGGCAAACATTGGCACTGCCAAAGCAAAAGCTGCGACCTTGTGGACGCCACTCAGCAAGTGCCGCCCCGGTTCCAGCCGATGCTCCCTGCTCGGCACCATGCTTGTCTGGTTTCTGGTGAGAGTAGATGTAGGGGTTCCTGATGGTCTGCAGTGGGGCCCACAAGAGGAAGCCAATGAAGGCGAAGGGTAAGGATGCCAGTAACAGCACCAGGTAGAGCGGTGTAGAGATCAGGACCCCGAGTGCCAGAAAAGAGCAGGGATCCTGGGAGCGTCTACGTTTCTCCAGTGATGTTGCTACACAGGAGGCCAACAACCGGTCCAACAGCCAGTAGCAAGGAAAAACAAAGGCCCAAGACAGGCGGCTCAGAAAGCTGAGGAAGGCACTGGGGTAGGGAGAGGTGTGCAAGACCATTTCTGGCTCACCTTATAAACCAACTCCCGAAAAAAAAAACAGTACAAAAAAGAACTACAAAGTTAACCCGCCCCCCTGTGGTGGGAAGAGGTACACTACATGGTTCTTGGGTCCTTCGCTATGTCCGACATTGAATATGGGATATACGGGGCCACGTGCCCGGCCTCTTCCCTTCTTGGTGGGGGTCTGCAATGCTAGAGTCTCCTAAAGAATCTGTTCATGGTGATGACAAAAAAACCCTCCTGGGATTCAGAATATTCCAGGCACGGAAAGGGGAGGCCTCGTCAGTGCAGAGCCTGCAGACAACCAAAGGGAGGGGGGAACAGAATACACAGGCAATCAGGTGAAAGTAGGGGATAATGTGCAATCAACAAATTGGATCCCAGTAAAAATTCAAACGTTTCAGAAATCATGATGAAGAATAAATCAATCATTTCATAGAACGCAGAGTGTCAGGTCACCAAATGTAGCCTGCTATGTAAGAATGTCTTTTTCTGGCTGCTTAAAAATATTTAAAAATATTGCTTATTGTTTGTAAATAAGCTTGAATTAAAAACTCATGAAATACAATTGACCTTATACATGTTGATTATTCAAACTGTGCAACCACATGGGATTATTTTTAGAAAAGAGGTCTGCCAGATGTGGCTTATTATCTCGAATGACCTACTGATTTTAACAAAGAAGAAATTAGGATAATTACCATTTAAAAAGCTACCACTGCACAGGTGTCACTGTAAAATATGATAACTAAGTCCCTTTGTAGATTGATGGTGATTTTGTGGCTGTTGCTCATGAAATAAACAGGCAGAAACAGGCACATACAAACAAATGGAGTAGACGATGAGGAATATTAGACTGAAACCTCACAGAGAGACAATTACAGTGATAAAAAATTATCTTGAAAAATTATTTTCTGTCTTTGTCACAGTTAAATTTGCCTTGTTCCTGAACAATGAACTCAGTGAGATAAATAGTTAAATATAAATAATATAAATAAAATTAAAACAGAGCGCAATGGAGCTAAATACATAAGGACAAATGTTTAATATGCTTTTTAAACCCTTCGACTAGGGGCATTTGTACCCCTTATACTATCCCTCCACTTATTTAATCACCAAGCGTTTTATCTTAAAATAAATGTCATAAATGTAAAAAAAATTCTCATTAAATACATAAATCTTAAAATGTTTTAAATCTCAAAAACATCGCTTTTCTCATTATAGCATGCAGTGAATTCATGGATCAGGACCTTATCGCAGTGCACAAACGGATGTTTAGGAAAGAATTTGAAACTGTAAAGGCTCTTTTACTCCTGTTACAACTGGTATGGAGCAGATATACACAGTGATGATATCCAGAACCATAAACCATAAACTAAATCAAAGACATGAAACAAAACATAAACCATGAGCTCGACTAGACAATGAACTATGCCAGGTGCATGTCTAACATTGAACAGCGTAGCATCCTTTAATCCGCGACAAGGAAACATGGAAAGCATGGGGATTCCGACTTGTAAAAAGTGTTCACGTCCTCTTAGATTACAACTTGTAAACTAAAAAACTGTACCACGTGCCCGCTGCAGATTTCTTAAGATTTATTGTGTTGCCATAGACACACAATCTAACCAGACGTGACAACCACCTGCTGTACCTTAATTATTATAAAATATACAAGATGAGGGCATAAACTAATACTAAATGTATAAATTAAGCTTTGCTTTAAAAGCAGCCATTGTGCTTTTAAAACTTAGCTGCCTTTTTATGTTGAGATTCTGGTTGCCTTTTTGTGGCAGATGCTCCTAGTCGAAACCCTGACCTAAATGATCAAAAGATTTACCAGATCAAAGTATATATGTCAATCTTTGACACGACCAGGAAATGCATGTTACTGGTGTGGGTTTATAATTTCAATGAAAGCCACTGATGTCAAGAGACAAAATAATGAATACGGAAAGACACGATCACAAGTCTCTGACGTCCACTTGTTTACGAGTCGAGAATTAACATCATATTTGCCTGTCATATTGTTACTATATAATACATTCACAATAGATAAAATCAAGTTCCACGCCACATTATGGAAATGATATGGGTTGTGAACACCGTTAAACCTTTCTCACAGAAAGTTCTCTAAAAACACTAAAGCTAAGGCACAGATAAAAGTCAAAAAATGTATTTTACTCTATAAACACACAGACGTTTCCTATAACACAGAGCATCACGTACAAGTAATCCCTTTGCATCCACACTCACCTCATCTGCACACACACCCAATCTGTGGAATAATAATTTCGAGGGTTTTATCCATCACTGCCGCCTAATCTGCACTGCACCGTTGTGCCGGCTGCATAGTGGCCTAGACGTGTGGAAAAAGCTCATCATTTTTTCAGAAAAGGGCTGATTTTGACAGTCCGCAGCGAGTACAGGAAAGAATTTGAGCCGTCAGACACACGGCCGTCTGTGCTTGAGAACAGGAAAAGGAAGAGTGTAGCGAAATGAACGTGTGGTACTTTGCAGCTGTGCATGCTGTATACATGCGCATTACCACACAAACACACACACATGTGTGAGGGGGGTTAAGCGATTGTGTCTTTAGGTTAAACTTGACTACTGCTGAGCAGCTTTCAGGTCGCACCACACAGAAAGCTTACAAAGGGAATCTGGTGCAAAAACAATGTCCTCAACTCTTCACAGATTCCCAGAGAAGGTCCTGCTGTTATTTTGCCCCTAAACAGTGCTGCCATATGGTTCTGTAGAAGACACACACTTAACCACAAAATACACACTCAAATCTTCACTGTAACGGACAGATAAATATATGTAAACCTATCAGTCCCCAGTTCGATGATCTGAGCCAGCCCAGAGGAACATTTTATTGCTGAAAGATTGCTCTTTAATTGCTCAGAAGACATTAGATCCCTTTGATGCTTCATTTAAAGGTGCAGTAAGTGATTTTATCCACTCTGGGACTGATATGAGCTGCCCTGTGAACATGCAAGATTACTCTCAGAAAGTTCCTAAACAAAGAATCTGACACCTAATTTACGTAATTCAGTAATATGTCAGATGTCATTCCATAAAAAATACTTTCAGCAATTTTAAGGATTCAATTAACGTGGATAGCATAGCTCATATAATTTTGTAGAATTTGATGAAAAATGTTCATGACAGCGATATTTTAATATTATTTACGTACTATTATTGTATTTCAAATATTTTTAATTCGCGTTTTTTTTTGCTTTGTCATTAGTTCCTGCTTTTTAAAATATTTATATTTAAGTTTCTTTTTTAATATTATTTACATACTATTATAGTATTTAATCATATTTTCAATTAGCTTTTATTTTCATATTATCAGTTTGCGTTTTAATTGCAGTTTAAGCTTCAGTCATTAGAATAGTTTCAGTTTTTTATATTTCTATTTAGCTTTAATTTGTTTGGGGGGGGGTTAAGTTTTTAATCTAATATTTAGATGATAAGTCTCTCTTGATGTAATTCTTCCTTTGCTCTCCATCTAATTAACTGATGTCTAAAAAAATATTCAAGATATTACAGAGATTCTCTTTTCTTTTCTCTTTGTATAATTTCTAATTCCTCCCCTTCTAATTCCTCATTGTGTTCAGGAGACTATTGTGATTTTCATCATCCCAGCCACTGCTCCGTGTGTTTACATTAAGTGTATGCACTTAAATGTTATGTGTGCCTTCGATATCTTGCCTTCGAGAGTCAATATTGCTCCACGACAGACCAGAAGCCTGATAATCAAGGCAATAAACTAAATGAATGCGAACATCAACAAAAAGTCTGTTACCTAACACTTTGTTTAGAAAGCCTCAATTATGGATCTGTTTAAACACGAATCCGTCACCTTCTAATCAATACTGATCACAACTTTCCCCATGAGTAAAGAGAGAGACACTGAGAAATGTCACGTTGATGACTGTGATGGTTTACCAGTGAATATACATAGAATTTGTTCTGTACAAGACGAGCACAGGCTTTCTGTTATTAAAGGATTAGTTCAATTATCACTTTCCTGATCATTTACTCACTCCCATGTCATCCAAGATGTTTATGTCTTTCTTTCTTTAGTCGAAAAGATTTTTTTTTTTTTAAAAATTCAAATAAAAAATAAATGTATAAAATAAAAATTAAACAATAAAATAAACATAAAAAATATTAAAATAAAATAAAAATAGACATGATCTATAAAATTTTGTGTTGTTACTCTATTATGAAACCTGCTGTATGAATGTGCATGTTTAAGGGTTGCCCTTCCTGTGAACTCATATCACTGATTAATTTGTTTGTGCGCATGTGTGTTTGTGTGTGGACAGGATGTTTTTTTGGTGTGCATGAAGTGCTGATTTTGTATCTGGTAACTTTAGAGATCATTGCAAACTCATCAGCAGCTCTGTGCCACTTTCCTATTGGTTCATTATTAATGAACCACAGGAAGAGAGAGAGAGATAGCCATAAAGGAAGAAAGAGACAGCATTAACTGTAAAGGTCTGAAACATGATCCATACAGATAATTTACTTCATACTTTCATAGAATCAACAAGGATAGCTTAATGAAACATATTGCGACATTCGCAAAAGCCCTGAGGTGCTCCTATCACTTTTATATCATGGTTCATTTATCTCATCTTTAATTTCCTGTGGAACTTGGCCATTGCTTATTCTTGACTAATGTGTGTGTGTGTGTGTGTGTGTGTATTTGTGTGTGTGCGCACCAGAGCGAGCGACTGACACTGCACTGAGCACACTCAGGGGAGTTTGTTGCCATGGCGACACTGCACTCACTCATGAACAGTATTGCTGTTGTCTATCAGTCTGGTCAATGCCCCCTTAGTATGACACACACCCACATACAAACACAAACATATTATTTAATCTACACTTATCTGTACTTCATATATAATTTAGTGGTCTAAACAGAATAAAAGTAATGTCTTCAAGCAAAATAAAAAATAAAATTAATTAAATTAAATAAAGAAATTTTAAATAATCAAAAAATAATAATAAAATAAAAAGTTGGTTACCCTTCCATCAAAGAGATTTCTCCCATATGCAAAGCAAATTAAACATTAATTTGTCTACAAATTTTCATTCTCCAAGTAGTCTTTTGAATCAAGTCAAGTCACCTTTAGTTTTATAGCGCTTTTTACATTACAGATAGTTTTAAAGGTGAACTAAGTAACTTTTTTACCTTAACCGAACAGCTTTGGAGTCATTGTAATGTTTATATTACTGATTTCGTGTTGAATGGTGGTCGTCTCGCACCCCCCTGGTGCCTGTGAGTCGCAAAACCACCCTTGCAACTTTGGGCCGCCGAGCCGCCGGCCTGAGTGTTAGGAAGTATCGTGTGATATCAGGTCTCGCGAGGTAACGAATTGCTTTACGGCAAGAAAAACAGATCTGATAAAATTCTGATAAAATGAGCATCAAACAGAAATAACCCGGCGCCGTATACATGTGGTGTTGGGCGCGCGCAGCTCTTAAAGGGGCCATACCTTGTTTCCACTCGTAACAGCGTCCATCCTACTGAACAGGTACCGGTGTACAGGGGGAGGGGATCCGGCCGTGAGTGCGAGCCATCTCTGCGTGAGTGCTATTCACGACGGTACAAGTGCTCCACAGCGACTCTAGGGGTCGCTGTTTGACAAAAACGGAATTCTTACTGAGTGCTGCTTTAAAGCAGCTTCATAAACAGCCCTCGGCTGTGCACCAGAGTAAGCAAATCTTCTGGAAAAAAATTAAATCATATATACATTTTTTTTATATGCTCGGTTAATCTATAAATAAAATTATTAATAAGATTTATGTACAAGTGAAATATAATCAAATATTTTAAAACATAAAAACAGACAATAATATTTATATATTTAACAGGTGTGTTCACTATAAAACATATACAGCATATGAATGTCTCATAAGGAACACATCAAGTTATATTTTAACTGCAATTTTTGTGTCCAAACATAATAAATATCTTAAAAAGAGCAGGCTAATGTATTGTCTAGTAATATCCAGACAATACACATTGTAAAAACATGTGAATGTTGTTCTAAAGTTTCGGTAATATATATTTACTATCGTAGTAGATACTAAACTGTAATTGACTTATAGATTGCAAATGGCTTTCTAGCCTACACTTAACATCATTTTAAAAAATGCATAGGACTGACAAGGGACAGCAATCACCAGGCAAGTGTCTTCAAATCCCATGATGACAACACTTGCTGTATGCAGGGTGTTAATGAAGCTAGTGTTATTTTCACTCATTTAAGCCGTATAGACATTACACAATTTAAATGAGACGAGGAAATTCCAGCCGAAGCATTGCCTCTCTTGAGTATTCTCATGCTCAAATATGAACTAATTGCAGTTGAAGAATGTTTGTGATATAATTTAATCCATCAGATCAAATGGCATTCCCTCTGCATGGTAGACAAAAGCTCATTTCTGCTAATCAATGTGACACCTTTGTGGAGGGATTATGACCGTCAGATCCTCAATAATCCATCATTAATCAATTCATGTGTAATCCTTATCAATCTGGCAATCGAGAGCTGTTTCAAAAACAAACCTCCCACTGGACACAGCAAAAACCTGTCTTTAAATAACCTCTGACAATAACGTGGAATGTGCACTCTTGAGAGGCTATAAATAGACGTGAAACGGGTACGCCCTTCAGGTTATCACTTTTCTGAAGAAACGTCTGGACACGCCCTAGTGTGGCACTGAGGCGCAGCATCTCGTTCCCGCATAAAATAAAATCTTGATTGTTACTGTAGCATCTTGACCTTGTATGTTCTGAGAGACCGGTTCAAACAGCTAAGATCTAAAATCATATATAACCCCCATCTTTTTTGGGAACTAGAAAGTGGCCCCTTTGCCCAGAAGAGTTTGTAGCTCTTGTGACAGCAAATGCACCTGCTCCGGTTCCACAGTAGTGGAGATCACGCCATTGAAACACGGAGGGCGGTGCGCAAACTGTATTTTGTAACCTTTTTCTATTGTTTTTAGGACCCAAGTAGAGATACCTGGCACACCCCCACAGTTCTGGGTGCAAATACTTTTTCTTTGCGGAGATGATTGTCCTCAAATCCGGCCTCTTTTTAGGCTCTTTTTTTGCCAGTCCCCAGTCTGTATTAGGGGGAGCGCAACTCGCCACACTCTGCTTCTGGGCCTCCCTCCGCTTAGAAGCCGGACCGAGTTTGGACTGGATGGCCCGACAGCCCCTCCCCTTGAGTATGGCAGGGAATCTTCCTCATGCCTCTTCATGCCTCTTCCCCTACCGGAACCTGCTGACGACTGTGTTCACCAAGTTGTCAAACAGTCCAGAAGGTGAGAAATGGGCATCAAGAGAAGGGCATCTTTGATGCCAGTGAGGTTCAGCCACAAATGCCTCTCCATGGCGACCAAAGCCTACAT